AACAAAGATGGGCGTTCAGAAATTTTCGTTGCATATGATGACATCGATTATGTAGATGTGCTGGTTACATACGACATCGGATCTTTCAGTCATGACATTAAATATTCAACTGGCGTCTGGGCCCGATCTGTAGCTCTTGGCGATTTTAATAACGACACCCAACTGGATATCGTGATCGCTAATCAGTACAACACTGTAAGTATCCTTCTCGGATATGGAAATGGTTCTTTCACTAATCAAACGACCTACTCAACTGGTTCTAACTCATGGTCTGTAGCTGTTGGTGACTTTAACAACGACACCCATCTGGATATCGTCGTTGCTAATTATGATGACAATACTTTAAGTGTACTTCTCGGATATGGCAATAGCTCTTTTGCAAATCAAACAAAATATTCAACTGGCTCTGGCCCAATTTCTGTAGCTGTTGGTGATTTTAACAACGACACCAATCTGGATATCGTCGTCGCTAATTCGGATGACAACACTGTAAGCATCCTCCTTGGATACGCCGATGGCTCGTTTGCAAATCAGACGACATATTCAACTGGTTCTAAACCATACTTTGTGGCTGTTGGTGATTTTAACAACGACACCAATCTGGATATCGTCGTCGCTAATCTTCATGGCAACACTGTAAGTGTACTTATCGGATATGGTAATGGCTCTTTTGCAAGTCAAACGACATATTCAACTGGCTCTAGGCCAATGTCTGTAGCTGTTGCCCATTTTAATAACGACACCAATTCGGATATCATCGTCGCTAATACTGATGGCAACACTATAAGTGTACTTCTCGGATATGGAAATGGCTCTTTTGCAAATCAAACAACATATTCAACTGGCTCTCACCCGCACGCTTTAGCTATTGGTGATTTTAATAATGACAACCGACTGGATATCGTCGTCACTAATTGGAATGACAACACTATGAGTGTCCTTCTTGGATATGGCAATGGTGTTTTTACAAATCAAATGACCTATTCAACGGGCACTAGTCCTTCATCTATAGCTGTTGGCGATTTTAATAATGACACCCGATTGGATATCGTCGTCACTAATACTAATGGAAATAGTGTCAGTATATATCTGGGATATCCTAATGAAGGGTTTTTTAAGCAAATGAGACTCATAACTGGCAATGGATCTCGCCCTAAGTCATACGCCGTTGGGGATTTTAACAATGACAGTCAAATGGATATAGCAGTGGCGAATTCAGGCAATAACAATATTGGTGTTTTTCTGAGATACGAAAATGGTTCTTTCAGAAATCAAATGACATATGCAACTGATTCCTCTCCGTGGTCGGTAGCTGTTGGTGATTTCAACAACGATACCATACTTGATATTGTCGTCGCGAATCTTGGCAGTGACAATGTTGGTGTATTTCTTGGACGGGGTAATGGTTCGTTTTCAAGTCAGAAAACGTTTACAACCGGTTTAAGCTCTCAACCAAACGCGGTTGCTGTTGAAGATTTCAACAACGACACCTTACTAGACATTATTGTCGCTAATTATGGCACAAACAACATAGGTGTGTTGCTTGGTTATGGGAATGGCTCCTTCACAAGTGTCAAGCTTTTTTCGACCGGTTATGGATCTCTTCCGTTCTCGGTTTCTGTTGATGATTTAGACAACGATGGAAAATTGGATTTCGTTGTCGCCAACGAAGGTGCTGACAATTTAAACATTTTTTTACAGACCTGTTAATATTGCCACTGCTGCCTTAAACTTTTTTTTCATTGATTCATTATTCCTAACTTCTACTTAGCGCTACTAATATTTCTTCTAACTATTTTTGTGCGTGAGTGTATGTTGAGAATTAAAATATTTTACATGAAGATAAGAAATACCAAGTGAAGCTATGATAATACGTCTAAATTTGACAAAGAATCTCGTCAGATGTATGGCATGAATATGCCAAGCACACGGTGATGTGTTTCGCTCTTCCTTAATGCTCTCATCATATGATTAGACAAGAGTTTCTTTTCGAGTGATATTAAGATCGTGGAAACGAGAGATAATCTACAATTAGCTTTTATGGTTTTCTTCAAGACATAGAGGAAATTATATTTGACTGTTAACGTGTTCCTGTGCGGCTTGGCGAATAAGGGGAAAATTGTTTGTATGGGGCATCAGTGTTCTTTTGTATAATCTGGTTCATTGTGGGTGTGTATAAAATTGATTTTTTAGATTACCAAGCATCCGTACGACACGTTTCGGTCTTGCTTAAGGGCCACTCATCAGTTTTGTCATAACTATGATTTGCTTACAGTGATTGCTTATATATTGCCATTACGTGTTTGCGATTATTGTTTGTAGACATTGTGTTGATTAGTAGATATCTAGAATATATGATAGTATGAAATACGTCTGGTTTCAAAGTGAACATATACCAAATGAAAGAAAGAAAAAGGAAAATTAACGAAACATGAACTAATTAGACGATGGTATCGGTTCACTTGTTCAATGGTCGAATATTTGAGCTTAAATAATGAAAAATGTAATAAATAGTCGTATTCGACATGTTGCACGTATTTAAGAGAAAAATAAACAGGAAGAAAAAAACAATGCTTATCTAGTAACAAGATCTAATGATAATAACAGAATATCCTCTATTTAGAACAAAACTGAGAAGGAGGCGAACAAACAGGAAGGAAACACTCTTCACAATTGAGATGCCTGAAAGAAACAAATGTTAATGACTAAACCGTTCTTTCATTGTTGTACGAACTGCTTCTGTGGTTAGTTGCATCCTAGTCAACATATCATGTGGAGGCTATCTGCGTATCAAAAGACTTTGTAAAATAATTTAATATTGTACCAAGAATTGGTCGTGTATTTTTGAAATGTGATCCTGGATAAACAGAACTTTTGCCATATTTGATGAAATTCTTGTTTGAAATTTAATAATGGTCCATTTTCGAAGGTATAATGAAGATAAATTTGATCTTTATGGTCATAGTTTTTCGTTTTTCCAATTAATTGACCAAGGCTCGAGATTTGTGTTTTGTTTTCTCTTTTTGTTGGTCTGTAAAGTAGCATATTATGTAGTTGTTGATAGACTTCACTGTTTAATTCAGTCCATACACTCATAGAATCATATTTAACAAAGAATGTTTTTTATATGATGTTGTATAAATTTTGGTGGATAACCTTTAATTATACAGTAATATCATTTCCATACTTAATCGTTCCATGTCAAAATCTTCCATATTGGAACAGCTACGTGCAGCTTGCACTAATGCAGTATAAATTATATTCGCATGAACGTGTCTTGGATGATCAGATTCATAAGGTAGAATATAGGGTTCTGAAGCTGATTTATGATAAATAGATATTTTTAAATTTCCATTATTATTTTCAATAGTAACATCAAGATATTCTAATGATTGACTAATAGTAGTTGTAATTGTAGCATTTGAATCTGTTTTAATGGTTTCATCAAGTTCTTT